TAAAAAAAATAAACTTAATTTTTTTAACGTTTGTTAAGTTTAAACCATAATGTTATGTATGTTAAGGCATGCATTAAGCACCCTATGACGATTATAAGTGACATGTTAGAGGCAATATTAACGTCTGTAATGTCCATTTCCTGTAGGAATTTGGTGGGATTTAAATAATGACAATAATATATATTATCTGGACACGTTAAATCTTCTCTATCTAGACCATAAACTACGTAAACCACACTTTGAAAACCAGCTCTATAATAACTTAAATGATAAAGCCATCGAAAAAAGACGGGGGTGTCTCTGTATCTTATACAAAATCCGAAAATAGAAAACAGACACGCTACTACAGGACCTAAGAACACTGCAATCTAAAAATTAAATTTAATTAATTAATTATTGTGTAAGTATTGGAAAGCTTAAAAGAGCCTTTAGATTTTTTTTGAACAATTGAATTAGTAATTGCCAGTCTCCGAAAAATGTAAATGTAATCCAAAAATAAAAAAAATTATAAATACCGCAGATTAACAGAAAATTTGGAATGTGAAAACATTAAATTAATCCACCGAAAATTTGAAAGTTGAAAATTACGATTGCTTATTGAGAATACTTTTCTTATTTCTTTGAAAAAACTGGAAAATTAAAAAAATATAAACAAAAATACCTTTGTAGGTGTCGTAGCTCCTATAAAATAACCCCAAGCTTGTGCACAAAGGGTTGATAAGGTACATAAAAGAACAAACAGATAAAATCGGAAACCAAATGGTTGTGATGTAAGCCAATAACTTATTCCAATGTAACTCCAAGTGCAACAAATCTGAAGTACATAATGCAAATGTGAGAAACTGATAGTAGTCATAATGTACATATGTATAAGGCTGTATTTACCTGAAACGGCACTTCGATTAAGAGAACTGATAATAAATAAGGTGGCAAGTTGTACCATCTATTAAAATGTTCCCGCGTTAGCACTTTCATTTCTAATGGAACTAAAAAAAGACTTAGATAAGAGGTAAAAATAAAAAGTTTTTACCGCCGGGGGCGGCCTTTGGGGCTGGCGAGCAGGGCAACTACCCGGGGCCTCGCGCACTCGCGCAACAGTCTAATTAAAAAAATATTAGGTAGTAATCGTACTTACTACTAATGTTTA